TTGTATATGATGGCAGGTGAGGATATAGGATGGCAGGTGAGTGTATAGGATGGCAGGTGAGGATATAGGAAGGCAGGTGAGGATATAGGATGGCAGGTGAGGATATAGGATGGCAGGTGAGTGTATAGGATGGCAGGTGAGTGTATAGGATGGCAGGTGAGGATATAGGATGGCAGGTGAGTGTATAGGATGGCAGGTGAGGATATAGGATGGCAGGTGACCATATAGGAAGGTGGTTGAGCGTGTAGGAAAGCAGGTGGTCACATGGGAAGTCAATGGGCTTACAGGAAGGTAGATGATTATACAGGAAGGTGGATGAGCACATGGGAAGGTGGGTGATTATACAGGAAGGTGGAAGGGCATACAGAAAGGAGCTCACGGAAAGGCCATGGAGTTTCCAGGAAGTCTGGGAATGCCGAGGAGCTCATGGAAAGGCTGTGGAGCTCATGGAAAGGCCATGGAGTTTCCAGGAGCTCTGGGAATGCCAGGGAGCTCACGGAAAGGCTGTGGAGTTTACAGGGAGTTCAGGAATGCTGAGGAGCTCATGGAAAGGCCATGGAGTTTCCAGGAGGTCTGGGAATGCCAAGGAGCTCCTCCCAGGAGCAGGGCCAGGGCAGGAATGATCCCCCCTGTGCCGCTCCCAGCAGGATTCCAACCGGCAACGCATGGGATTGGAACCATCCCGGCTCCCCAGCCAGGAATAACCTTGCGGGATGAGGGTTTTTTTGGTTGGTTTGTTTTTTCTTTTTTTCCTTTTTAATTTTTTCTTTTTCTTTATTTTTATTTTCTCTCTTTTTTTCTTTTTTCTTTTTCCTTTTTTCTTTTTTTTAATTTTTTCTTTTTTCTTTTTTCTCCTTTTTTCTTTTTTCCTTTTTTCTTTCTTCCTTTTTTCTTTTTTCTCTCTTTTTTCTTTTTCCTTTTTTCTTTATCCTTTTTTTCTTTTTATTTTTTTCCTTTTTTCTTTTCCTTTCTTTTCTTTCCTTTTTTTCTTTTTCCTTTTTCTTTTTTCGTTTCCTTTCTTTTTTCCTTTTTTCTTTTTCTTCTTTCTTTTTTTTAATTTTTTCTTTTTTCTTTTTTTTTCTTTTTTTTCCTTTTTTGTCCTTTCTTTTTTCCTTTTTTCTCTTTTTTCCTTTTTTCTTTTTCTTCTTTCTTTTTTTCTTTCTAATTCCTTTTTTCTTTTTCCTTTTTTTCGTTTTTTTCTTTCTTTCCTTTTTTTCGTTTTTTTCCTTTTTTCTCTTTTTTTCCTTTTTTGTCCTTTCTTTTTTTCCTTTTTTTTTCTTATTTCCTTTTTCCTCTTTTCCTTTTTCTTTCCTTTTTCCTTTTTCTTTTCTAATTCCTTTTTCTTTTTCCTTTTTTTCGCTTTTTCTTTCTAATTCCTTTTTCTTTTTCCTTTTTTCTCTTTTTCCTTTTTTTGTTTTTTTTTTGTTTGTTTTTTTCCCTCTATTTTCTTTTTTTTTCTTCTTTTTCCTCTTTTTTCCTTTCTTTTTTCCTTTTTTCTTTGTTTTGTTTTCTTTTTTTCCCTTTTTTTTTCTTGTTTTTCCTTTTTTCTTTTTCCTTTTTTTCTTTCTTTTTTCCTTTTTTCTTTTTTCCCCCTTTTTTTCTTTTTTCCTTTTTTATTTTTTCCTTTTCTTGTTTTTCCTTTTTTCTCCTTGTTTTTCTTTTTTTATTTTTTCCTATTTTTCTTTTTTCTTTCTTTTTTCTTTTTTCCCTATTTTTTTCTCTTTTTTCCCTTTTTTCCTTCTTCTTTTTTTCCTTTTCTCTTTTTTCCTTTTTCTTTTTAATTTTTTTCAGTGTTTTTTTTTCCCATTTAAACTGAAATTCCTTTTTTTTTTCTTTCTCTCCCTGCCTCATCCCAAACGAAACCTCCTTTGGGTGTCTGTATCCATGTATCCATGATTTTATTCCCGATTTCCCAGCAGGCGGCAGCAGAGCCCTTGAGCAGGAAAAAAACCCCCCAAAAAACCCAAAAACCCCGGAATTTTCACTAAAAAATCCGCTCTTTCCCCCCCTCTCCCCGTTCCCTGATCCCATTTTCCCCCCAGAATTCCCGTTTTTTCCCCCGCAGGGAGCGGCAGAGCTGAAAGTGGGAATTTTTTTCCCCCTCCCCCCCTTCCCTCCTTGCCAAGGGGGTGAATCCCAAAATCCCGACCCGCCCCTTCCCAAATTTCCCTCCCCAAAAAACCTCCCAAAACTTTGTCAATCCCTTTTTTGTTGTTGTTCATTTTCCACTTTTAAAACTCTCCAAACTCCATTTTTTTTGGTGTATTTTTTTGGTTTGTTTTTCCACACAAAAGCAGGAATTTTTTTTTATTAATATTATTTTTTTTTGCCCCAAAAAACTCCCCCTCCAAACCCTCCCCAAACCAAACCCCCCCTAAAATTCAGCGCTATTAAAAGAGGAATGGGAAAAAAAAAAACCACTTTATACAGAGCTCAGACCTATTTACAGGGGAAAACAAAACAAAAAACCAACCAAAATAAGCTTTTTTTTTCTTCTTTTTTTCCATATTTTTCCCGACAGGATGCTTCAATTATTATCATTCTTTTTATTATTATTATTATTATTTATTATTATTATTTATTATTATTTAATTATTATTATTATTATCATTCTTTTTAAATAGTCGAAGCTACCGCAGAGCAGAAAGAACCGACTTCAGTTTATTTTTGTATTTTCAGCATCATCAAAAAAAAAAAAAAAACAAAGTTGTATCTACAAGAACCAAACCCTCCCCCCACTTTCCTTTTTTTTTTTTAAAACCCCTCCTTTTTTTTCTCCTTTCCCCCTAAAAATTATTGCGTTTTTTTCCTCCCTCCCCCCCAAAAAAATCCGATTTTTTTTTTTACCTTTTTTTTTCCTTTTTTTTTTTTGTGTTTTTTTTTGTCATTTTTTTTTCCCCTCCTTTTCCACGTCGGTCCCGCCCCTCCCTTTGTTGTTTTTTTTTAAAATTATTATTATTTTGGGTGTTTTTTTTGTGGTTTTTTCGTTGTTTTTAAGTTCTGGAAGGGCGGGAAAATTTGAGGAAAAAAAAAAAAAGGTGGAAAAGGAGTTTTTTTGTTGTTTTTTTCCTTGGAAAAGCGACAAATCCCGGATTTTTTGGTGCTAAAAAAGCTGATTGTACGCACGAGCCGAAGGGGAGGGGAAAAGGGAGGGGGGAAATTGGGATTAAATTAAAGAAACATGTGGGGTTTTGGGGTTTTTTTGGGGTTTTTGGGGGTTTTTGGGGTGTTTTTCCCACGGAATTCCAGCGGCGCCGATCCCGATCCCGATCCCAGTGCCAGATCCAGCTGAGACTGAGCTGCTGTTTTCCCGGGAATGCTGCAGGAGGAATTCCCGGGGAGGAGCCCCCACGGGGGGGATAAAAATAATTAACAAATTAACAAAAAAAAAAAGAGGGATTCTCGCACGAGGTTTTGGGGAGAGGAACTGGAATTTCAGGAAAGGGGGAAAAGAGGAGGGAAAAAGGAGGAAAAGGGAGAAAAGAGGAGGAAAGGGGAGAAAAGAGGGAAATGGGGGGAAAAGGGAAAAAGGAGAGGGAAATGGGAAAGGAGGGAAAAGGGAAGGAAAAGGAGGAAAAAGGGGAAAGAAGGAGAAAGGGGAAAATGGAGGAGAGAAAAGGGGGAAAAATGGAAGGAAAGGAGGAAAATGGAGGGAAAGAAGGGAGAAAAGAGAGGGAAAAGGAGGAGAGGAAAGGAGGAAAAGGAGGAAAAAAGAGGAAAGAGGAGAAAGAAAAAGGAGGAAGGGAAAGGAAAAAGAGGAGATAAAGGAGGAAAAGAGGAAAGGAGGAGGAGAAAAGAGGAGAGAAAGGGGAAATGAGGAAAAGAGGGAGAAAGAGGAGGAAAATTTTGGGAGAAAAAGGGAGAATAAAGGAGGAAAAGAGGGAAAAGGAGGGGAGAAAAGGGGGGGAAAGAGGAGGAAAAAAGAGGAAAAATGAGGAAAAGGGGGAAAAAGGGAAAGGAGGAAAAGGTGGGGAGAAAGGAGGAGGGGAAGGAGGAAAAGGGGGGAAATGAGGAAAATAGGGGGGAAAGAGGAAAATGAGGGGAGAAAAGAGGGGAAGAGGAAAAGAGGGAAAAGGAGGGAGAAAAGGAGGAGGGAAAAGGGGAAAATGGAGGAAAAGGGGTAAAAAAGGAGAAAAAGGGGGAGAAAAAGGGCAAAAAAGGGAGGAAAAGGAGGAAAAAGGGAGGAAAAGGGGGCAAAAAAAGATGAAAAGGGGGTGAAAAAGGAGCAAAAAGGAGTCAAAAAAGGGAAAAAGGGAGGAGAAAAGGGCAAAAAGGAAAAAGGGAAAAGGAAGGGAAAAAAGGAGGAAAAAGGGGCAGAAAAAAAAGGGTGAAAAATGAGGAAAAGGGGTGAAAAAAGAGAGGAAAAAAAAGGTGAAAAAGAGGGCAAGAAGGAGGGCAAAAAGGGCAAAAGAGAAGGGAAAAGAGGGGGAAAAGAGGGAAAAAAGGGGAAAAAAGAGGAAAAAGAGAAAAGGAGGAGGAAGAGGAGACAAAAAGGGGCAAAAAAGAGGGAAAGAGGTCAAAAAAAGAAGGGGAAAAGGACAAAAAAGAGAGGGAAGAAGGTCAAAAAAGAGAGGAAGAAAGGTCAAAAAAGGGGAAAAAAGGTCAAAAAGGGAAAAAAAGACAAAAGAGAGGGGGAAAAAAGCATAAAAAGAGAGGGGGGAAACGGATAAAAGAGAGGAGGAAAAAGGGCAAGAGAGGGGAAAAAAGGACAAAAAAGAGGGGGAAAAGGTCAAAAAAGAGAGGGGAAAAAGGACAAAAGAGGGGAAAAGTTCAAAAGAGAGGGGAAAAAGGACAAAGGAGAGGGGGGAAAGGGCAAAAGGGGAAAAAAGGACAAAAGAGGGGGGGAAAAAAGGTCAAAAAAGAGGGCAGAAAGGAGACCCCAAAAAAAGGGGGGGGAGGCAAAAAAAAAAAAAAGAACCCAAAAAAAGGGGCCCAAATTTGGCGCAAACCCCGCCCCAAACCCCTCCTTAAACCCTCCCCTTTCCCCTCCCCTCCCTCTCCCCGCCCCTCCCGCCGCGGGGCGAGCTATCAAAACCCCCACAAAAATAGATAATATATATAATTTTTTCTCTCTCTTTCTCTGTCTCTCTGTCTCTCTTTCTGTGTGTCCGTGTGTCCACTCTCTCTGTGGCCGGGATTTTCATGTCTTTCACCGGGATTTTCATGTCTTTCACCGGGATTTTCATCTCTTTCGCCGGGGTTTTCCACTTTCTGGCCGGGATTTTCCATTTCTGGCCGGGATTTTCCACTCATCTCTTGTGTCCTCCGCTCACTCTGTCAGGAGCTGCTGCAGGAGGCTCTTCCCTTGGCCCGGAGCTGCGGCCGGAGCAGGAGCGGTGGCTTTGGGGCCGCCGGGGGGGTTGAGGTACGGATCTCCCACCAGATTCACCGTGCACTGCACGTCAGCGAACACCTGCACCTGCTGCACCTGCCGCCGGCATCCATCCACGGGTGGAGAACACACACAAAAAAACACAAAATAAAATAAAAAACAAACAAAAAAAAAAGCGGGTTTTAGCGGGTTTTTTGTGCCCTCCCCACACCCCCCATCCCCGGGAGTGGCGGCGGCGGCGGCGGCGGCGGCAGCGGCGGAGCTCGGGAAAAAATTCAACTCTACGGGAAGGTTTGGAGAGAACTCACTAGGGAAAAGATTTCCTCTCTAGTCTGGAGACACCCCAGAGAAGAGCTCTTCGGTCCGGGCGCCCTACAAAGAGAAAACCGCGGCGACTCAGTCGGTCTCGGGCACCCCGGGAGGGGGAGGGAGGCGGGGAGGGAGAATATCCCGGGAAAAAAGGGCTGGAGCGTCCTGGAGAAGGGAATGGGTAAGGGGGGTGGGGAGGGGCTGGGGGGCTGAGATCAGGGGTTGGTGAGTCCTGGACTGTTCCCTTGGGATCTGAGGGACACCGGGAGAGATGGGGATCATCTGGAATGGTGCTCACCCAGAAAAAAAAGCGGGATTGAGGGAGAACACCCTGGAAAAACCTGGCTTGGAGTGCCCTGGAGAAGTGGAGTGGACACGGGGAGTGGGGAGGGGCTGGTGGGCAGAGCTCAGGGGTTGGTGAGTCCTGGAGTGTTCCCTCTGGATCTGAGGGACACCGGGAAGGGGACACCAGGATGGTTTGGAGCGGTGCTCATCCACAAAAAAGTGGGATTGAGGAGGTAAACACCTCCCTGGCCCTGGAGAAGGGGAATGGTCACGGGGGGTGGGGAGGTGCTGATGGGCAGAGCTCAGGGGTTGGTGAGTCCTGGGGTGTTCCCTTGGGATCTGAGGGACACCGGGAGAGATGGGGATCATCTGGAATGGTGCTCACCCAGAAAAAAAAGCGGGATTGAGGGAGAACACCCTGGAAAAACCTGGCTTGGAGTGCCCTGGAGAAGTGGAGTGGACACGGGGAGTGGGGAGGGGCTGGTGGGCAGAGCTCAGGGGTTGGTGAGTCCTGGAGTGTTCCCTCTGGATCTGAGGGACACCGGGAAGGGGACACCAGGATGGTTTGGAGCGGTGCTCATCCACAAAAAAGTGGGATTGAGGAGGTAAACACCTCCCTGGCCCTGGAGAAGGGGAATGGTCACGGGGGGTGGGGAGGTGCTGATGGGCAGAGCTCAGGGGTTGGTGAGTCCTGGGGTGTTCCCTTGGGATCTGAGGGAATGGGAGGGACACTGGGACAGATGGCCCTCGTCAGAATGGTGCTCATCCAAAAAAAAAGGTGGGATTTAGGGAGAAACACCTTGGAAAAACCTGGTTTGGAGTGCCCTGGAGAAGTGGAGTGGACACGGGGAGTGGGGAGGTGCAGGTGGGCAGAGCTCAGGGGTTGGTGAGTCCTGGACTGTTCCCTTGGGATCCACAGGGAAGGGGAGGGACACTGGGAGAGATGGGGATGGTTTGGAATTGCATCCATCCAAAAAAAAGCGGGATTGAGGGAGAAACATCCCGGAAAAACCTGGCTTGGAGTGCCCTGGAGAAGGGAACGGCCGTAGGGGGTGGGGAGGGGTTGGTGGGCAGAGCTCAGGGGTTGGTGAGTCCTGGACTGTTCCCTTGGGATCTGAGGGTCACTGGGAGAGATGGGGATCACCTGGAATGGTGCTCACCCAGAAAAAAAAGCGGGATTGAGGGAGAACACCCTGGAAAAACCTGGCTTGGAGTCCCCTGGAGAAGTGGAGTGGACACGGGGAGTGGGGAGGGGCTGGTGGGCAGAGCTCAGGGGTTGGTGAGTCCTGGAGTGCTCCCTCTGGATCTGAGGGACACTGGGAAGGGGACACCAGGATGGTTTGGAGCGGTGCTCATCCAAAAAAAAGTGGGATTGAGGAGGGAAACACCTCCCTGGCCCTGGAGAAGGGGATCAGTCACAGGGGGTGGGGAGGAGCTGATGGGCAGAGCTCAGGGGTTGGTGAGTCCTGGACTGTTCCCTTTGGATCTGAGGGAATGGGAGGGACACTGGGACAGATGGCACTCGTCAGAATGGTGCTCATCCAGAAAAAAGTGGGATTTAGGGAGAAACACCTTGGAAAAACCTGGTTTGGAGTGCCCTGGAGAAGTGGAGTGGACACGGGGGGTGGGGAGGTGCAGGTGGGCAGAGCTCAGGGGTTGGTGAGTCCGGAGCGTTCCCTTGGGATCCAAGGGATGCAGGGAAGGGGAGGGACACCGGGAGAGATGAGGATCCTTTGGAGCAGCACTGACCCAAAAAAAAAGTGGGATTGAGGGAGAACATCCTGGAAAAGCCGGTCTTGGAGTGCCCTGGAGAAGGGAAGGGCCGTGGGGGGTGGGGAGGGGTTGGTGGGCAGAGCTCAGGGGTTGGTGAGTCCTGGAGTGCTCCCTTGGGATCTGAGGGACACTGGGAAGGGGAGGGACATTGGGAAGGTTTGGAGCAGAACTGATCCAAAAAAAAAGTGGGATTTAGGGAGAATATCCTGGAAAAACCTGGCTTGGAGTCCCCTGGAGAAGGGAAAGGACACGGGGGGTGGGGACGGGCTGGTGGGCAGAGCTCAGGGGGTGGTGAGTCCTGGGGTGCTTCCTTGGGATCCACAGGGAATGGGAGGGGTGGACGGGGCCGATCCGGGCCGGCATTCCCGAGGTTTGGGGTCACCCCAGAGCCGCCTCCTCGCTGCGCTGACGGCCCAGCCTAGGAGAGAACCCCCAAAACAACTAACCCCAACCCCGACCCCAACTAACCCAACCCCAACCCCAACCCTAACCCGACCCCAACCTCAACCCCAACCCCAACTCAACTAACCCCAACCCCAACCCGACCCCGACCCCGCGCTCCGGCCTCGTCCTCCCCAGAGCCTCGGCCGGGAACGCCCAAGGGGGAACCGGTGGGGTGGCACCAAACTGGGGGGGCATCAAACTGTGGGGATGGCACCAAACTGGGGTGGCACCGCTGGGGATGGCACCAAACTGGGGTGGCACCAAACTGGGGGGGCATCAAACTGTGGGGATGGCACCAAACTGGGGGGCACCAAACTGGGGGGACACCGCTGGGGATGGCATCAAACTGTGGGGGCACCAGTGGGGATGGCACCAAACTGTGGGGAAACCAGTGTGGGTGGCACCAAACTGGGGATGGCACCAAACTGGGGTGGCACCAAACTGGGGGGACACCGCTGGGGATGGCATCAAACTGTGGGGGCACCTGTGGGGGTGGCACCAAACTGTGGGGAAACCAGTGTGGGTGGCACCAAACTGGGGATGGCACCAAACTGGGGTGGCACCAAACTGGGGGGACACCGCTGGGGATGGCATCAAACTGTGGGGGCACCTGTGGGGGTGGCACCAAACTGTGGGGACACCAAACTGTGGGGGCACCGCTGGGGATGTCACCAAACTGGGGTGGCACCAAAATGGGGGGCACGAAACTGGGGGGCACCAAACTGTGGGGGCACCGGTGGGGATGGCACCAACTGTGGTGGCACCGGTAGGGATGGCACCAAACTGTGGGGAAACCAGTGTGGGTGGCACCAAACTGGGGGGGCACCAAACTGGGGTGGCACTGGTGGGGGTGGCACCAAACTGGGGTGGCCTCAACCCCAGAAATGTCACCAAACTGGGGGGGCACCGCTGGGGGTGGCACCAAACTGGGGTGGCACCAAACTGGGGTGGCACCAAACTGGGGGGACACCAAACTGGGGGGACACCAAACTGTGGGGGCACCGGTGGGGATGGCACCAAACTGGGGGGGCACCAAACTGGGGGGGTGGCACCAAAGTGGGGTGGCCTCAACCCCAGAAATGTCACCAAACTGTGGGGACACCGGTGGGGATGGCACCAAATTGTGGTGGCATCGGTGGGGATGGCACCAAACTAGGGGGGCACCAAACTGTGGGGACACCAAACTGTGGGGATGGCACCAAACTGGGGTGGCACCAAACTGGGGGGATGGCACCAAACTGGGGGGATGGCACCAAACTGGGGGGGCACCGGTGGGGGTGGCACCAAACTGGGGGGGCACCAAACTGCGGGTGGCCTCAGCCCCAAGGGATGGTACCAAACTGGGGTGGCACCAGTGTGGATGGCACCAACTGGGGTGGCTTCAACCCTAGAGATGTCACCAAACTGTGGTGGCCTCAGCCCCCTGAGGTGTCACCAAACTGTGGGGGCACTGGTGTGGGTGGCAGCAAACCGGGGTGGCCTCAACCCCAGAGATGGCACCCAACACTGGGGGGACTGTGGTGGCTCCAACCCCAAGGGGTGTCACCCAACTGTGGTGGGACCGTGGTGGCCTCAACCAACCTTCTCCCCCACCCTGAGGGCCCTCCAGGTGTGTTTTTTGGGGTGAATCTCCCCCATCCTGAGGGCCCTCCAACCCCTGTTTTTCTGGGAGGAATCTCCCCCACCCTGTGAACCCTCCAGCCTTTTTTTTGGGTGTTTTTTTTGGGGTGAATCTCCCCCACCCTGAGCCCCCTCCATCCATTTTTTTGGGGGTTTTTTTTTTTAGGGTGAATCTCCCCCACCCCGAGCCCTCTCCATCCATTTTTTGGGGTTTTTTTTGGGGGGGGAATCTCCCCCACCCTGAGCCCCCTCCATCCATTTTTTTAGGGGGAATCTCTCCCATCCTGAGCCCCCTCCATCCATTTTTTGGGGTTTTTGGGGGTTCTCTCCCCCAGGCCGTTTCTCACTGACCTGTGCCCCGTCAGAGTCTGCCTTGAGCAGCTCAGAGGAGGAGAGTTGGTTGCAGTAGAGCCCCCCGGCCTCAGCGCCGCCTCCGGCACCTGCAAATCCCGGAAAATCCCGGATCAGAGCCCTGGGAGCCGCTGCCAGCCCGGACCCAACCATCCCTGAGCCCCATTCCCTGATTCCCAGCTCCCATTCCCAGATCCAGCCACTCCTGAGCCCCATTCCTTGATTAATTCCCAGCTCCCATTCCCGGATCCAGCCACTCCTGAGCCCCATTCCCTGATTAATTCCCAGCTCCCATTCCCAGATCCAGCCACTCCCTGCTCCCCATTCCCTGATTCCCAGCTCCCATTCCCAGCTCAGGGCACACAGACCCCTGGGATCTGCTGCCAGCCCGGATCCAGCCATCCCTGCTCCCCATTCCCTGATTCCCAGCTCCCATTCCAAGATTCAGCCCTTCCTGCTCCCCATTCCCTGATTAATTCCCAGCTCCCATTCCCAGCTCAGGGATCACAGATCCCTGGGATCTGCTGCCAGCCTGGGTCCAGCCACTCCTGATCCCCATTCCCTGATTAATTCCCAGCTCAGGGCACACAGACCCCTGGGATCTGCTGCCATTCCAGATCCAGCCACTCCTGAGCCCCATTCCCTGATTCCCAGCTCCCATTCCCAGCTCAGGGCACACAGACCCCTGGGATCCTCTGCCATTCCAGACCCAACCATCCCTGCTCCCCATTCCCTGATTCCCAGATTAGGGATTGCAGACCCCTGGGATCATTTGCCAGCCCAGATCCAACCATCCCTGCTGCCCATTCCCTGATTCCCAGCTCCCATTCCCAGATTCAGCCACTCCTGAGCCTCATTCCCTGATTAATTCCCAGCTCCCATTCCCAGACCCAGCCACTCCTGAGCCCCATTCCCTGATTCCCAGCTCCCATTCCCAGATCCAGCCACTCCTGAGCCCCATTCCCTGATTAATTCCCAGCTCCCATTCCCAGATTCAGCCCTTCCTGCTCCTCATTCCCTGATTAATTCCCAGCTCCCATTCCTGGACCCAGCCACTCCTGAGCCCCATTCCCTGATTAATTCCCAGCTCCCATTCCCAGATCCAGCCACTCCTGAGCCCCATTCCCTGATTAATTCCCAGCTCCCATTCCCAGCTCCAGCCACTCCTGAGCCCCATTCCCTGATTAATTCCCAGCTCCCATTCCTGGACCCAGCCACTCCTGAGCCCCATTCCCTGATTAATTCCCAGCTCCCATTCCCAGCTCAGGGAACACAGACCCCTCCAACCATCCCTGCTCCCCATTCCCTGATTAATTCCCAGCTCAGGGCACACCCTGGGATCTGCTGCCAGCCCAGACCCAGCCATCCCTGCTGCCCATTCCCTGATTCCCAGCTCCCCAGTGGATCCATGGCTACGAACAGCTCATCCCAAGGGCTGGGATGTGGGACAGGGACACGGGACACGGAACACCCCGACCTCGCCCCCTCCCCCCTGGTGACCCCTCCCCCATTCCCAGACCCCTGCCCCGTCCCCTGGGTGTCCCACTGACCTGCTCGGCGCACACGGATGCCATTCCCGGCTGGAGTGGGCTCATCCCGGCCATGGGGGCGGGCAGGGGGGTCACTCCCTGCGCGCCGGGGCCGCCCCCGGCCATGGACACCGTGATGCTCATGTTGTTGTAGAGCCCCTGCTGGGCCGGCCCGAACACGCTGGGGACAGGGGGGACACGGGACGGGTCACCGGGAATGGCACTGGGATTTGGGATCGACCACGGGGCACGGGGCGTCAATTCACGGGATGGGAAGGGGAGTTCCCAACCCGGCACTTCCCGCTGTGCCAGGGGATCCAACCCGGCCTGGGACACTCCAGGGATCCAGGGGCAGCCACAGCTTCCCTGGGAATTCCAGCCCAGCCCCTCCACACCCTCCCAGGCTCTGGAAGGGGCTCCCAGCTCTCCCTGGATCCTTCCCTGCTCCAGCCTGGCCATTCCCAGCTCTCCCAGCCTGGATCCAGAGCCTGACATTGGATCCATGCCCAGCCCAACTCCTCTCTGGGAAGGAGTTCTGGGAACAAGGGGGGGTTCCCTGGGAATCTCGGCACTCAGGGAAGGGTCTCCCTTCCCCTTCCCTGCCTTTGCCATCCCCAGATTCCATAAAAACCCCTCTGAGTGGATCCTGAGTGGCCTTTAGCATGGGATGGAAAGGGATTAGCATGGGTGGGAAGGGATCCAGGGGATCCAGCCCGGCCTGGGACACTCCAGGGATCCAGGGGCAGCCACAGCTTCCCTGGGAATTCCAGCCCCAGCCCTCTCCACACCCTCCCAGGCTCTGGAAGGGGCTCCCAGCTCTCCCTGGATCCTTCCCTGCTCCAGCCTGGCCATTCCCAGCTCTCCCAGCCTGGATCCAGAGCCTGACATTGGATCCATGCCCAGCCCAACTCCTCTCTGGGAAGGAGTTCTGGGGAACAAGGGGGTTCCTGGGAATCTCGGCACTCAGGGAAGGGTCTCCCTTCCCCTTCCCTGCCTTTGCCATCCCCAGATTCCATAAAAACCCCTCTGAGTGGATCCTGAGTGGCCTTTAGCATGGGATGGAAAGGGATTAGCATGGGTGGGAAGGGATTTTCAGGATCATCCCATTCTATGTTCAGGGACAATTCCCGCTATCCCAGGGGATCCAACCCGGCCTGGGACACCCCAGGGATCCAGGAGCAGCCACAGCTTCCCTGGGAATTCCAGCCTGGCCCCTCCCCACCCTCCCAGCCGGGAATCCCTTCCCAATCTCCCACCCCAATCTCCCCTTTCCCAGTGGGAAGCCATTCCCTGTGTCCTGCCATTCCAGGCCCTGATCCCAAATCCCTCTCCAGCTCTCCTGGAGCCCCTGCAGGCTCTGGAAGCAGCTCCAAATCACCAATTTCCCATCCCAAAGCTGAACTTTGGGGGATTTTTTCCCCCTCCTTTCCAGGACATCCAAAACCCAATCTTGCCTCATGGCCTAAAAAAAAAACCCCTCCAACAAATCCAGCTCTTCCCAATCCCTCCCATAACCCGGAGCTGGGAACGCCTGGAGAGCATCCCGGGAATGCCGGGCCGGGCTCCACTCTCTGCCACCTTCCCTAGGGTGTCCTTTTTAGCAGAACTAATTAAACCACTCGTTAATTACCACCCAAAGCCCTTCTCCAGGTGGCTCCAGGCTCCAAAGCCCTTCTCCAGGCGGTGGCTCCCGGAGGGTGGGAACGCCCCAAGGTTGGGATGAGGACACGGGTGACATCACAGCTGGGAGAAGGTGACACCACCACCCCCCACACTGTGTTCCAGGCAATTCCCGGGGCCATTCCCGGCTGGAATCTCACCTGTTGGTGCCCAGGGCTCCCTGCTGCTGCCAGCCCTTCACGTCGGGGGATTGGTAGCCGGGGCCGGGTGGTGACATCAGGGGGCTGCCGGGGCTGAGGGACGGCCCGAACGACTCGCTCTGCTGGGCCATTCCTGGGGGGGGGGAACAAACAGGGGGGAATCAGGGGGTTCACCCCAAAATTCCTTCCTCCTGCACAGCCACCAAAATTCCCCTCAGGTTGTTGGGAGATCCCAACTCCTTGGGAGATCCCAGATCCTTGGGCTGTTGGGAGATCCCATCTCCCTGGGATGTTGAGAGATCCCATCTCCCTGGGAGATCTCAACTCTGTGATGGGAGATCCCCACAAATCAGGCTGTTGGGAGATACCAACTCCTTGGGCTGTTGGGAGATCCCAACCCCTCGTCACATGGATCCCCCAACCCACGCTCAGCCGGGGCCAAACCCCCGAGCACTGCTCCCACAGGAACATCCCATCCCATCCCATCCCATCCCATCCCATCCCATCCCATCCCATCCCAGCGCCCATCCCACCCCATCCCATCCCACCCCACTTCACCCCGCCCCACCTCATCCCATCCCACATCCCATCCCACCCCACCCATCCCACCCACCCCATCCCATCCCATAACCCACCTGCCAGGGGTATTGAAAGACGCTCTGGGGCTGCATCCCAGTGCCCATCCCACCCTGCCCCATCCCATCCCATCCCACCCCACCCCATGACCCACCTGCCGGGGGTACTGAAAGACGCTCTGGGGCTGCATGCCGGAGCCCATGGTGGTGCCCATGTTGGTGCCCATGCTGGAGCCCATGTTGGTGCCCATGGCACTGCCCACACCGGTGCCCATGTTGGTGCCCATGGCACTGCCCATGTTGGTGCCCATGTTGGAGCCCACGCCGGTGCCCATGTTGGAGCCCACGCCGGTGCCCATGGCACTGCCCATGTTGGTGCCCATGTTGGTTCCCATGTTGGTGCCCACGCCGGCCCCGAAGGGCGCGGCCAGGACCGCTCTGGCGGCGCCGCCGGTGCCGCGCTCGGGCGCGGGGGCGAAGGGGCTGCCGGGGGCGGGCGGGTACGCGGGCGGGTACGGGAACTGCTGCGGGGGCGGCTGCGGGGGCAGCCGGGCGGGCCCCAGCGCCGAGGGCAGGGCGGGGGCGGCGCCGGCGAAGCTCTGCTGGCGCAGGAGGAGGGCGCGCTGCTGCATCAGCTGGCGCTGCCGGTGCTGCTGGCTGTACAGCTCCCGCTGCCGCTGCGCCAGCATCTGCGCGTTCAGCGGCGCCTGCGGGCACAGCGACGGGGCAGGTCACCATCCGAGATGGGAACTGCTGCCACCCTGACCCTGGGGTCACTGAGGGACATGGAAACTGCTCCCGCTGCCACCCTGACCCAGGGTCACTGAGGGACACGGAAACTGCTCCTGCTGCCACCCTGACCCTGGGGTCACTGAGGGACAGGGCAGGTCACCATCCGAGATGGGAACTGCTCCCGCTGCCACCCTGACCCAGGGTCACTGAGGGACAGGGCTGGTTACCATCCGAGATGGGAACTGCTCCTGCTGCCACCCTGACCCCAGGGGTCACTGAGGGACAGGCCTGAATCACCACCCGAGATGGAAATCCCTGCCAGGCCCACTGACCCCAGGGGTCACTGAGGGACACAGCCACAGGGCAGGTCACCATCCGAGATGGAAATCCCTGCCAGGCCCCCTGACCCCGGGGGTCACTGAGGGACACGGAAACTGCTCCCACCGCCACCCTGACCCCGGGAGTCACTGAGGGACAGTCCTGAATTACCACCCGAGATGGAAATCCCTGCCAGGCCCCTGACCCCGGGGGTCACTGAGGGACACGGAAACTGCTCCCGCTGCCCCCCTGACCCCGTGGGTCACTGAGGGATGGAGGGACAGGGCTGGTTACCACCCGAGATGGAAACTGCTCCCACTGCCCCCCTGAGCCCGGGGGTCACTGAGGGACAGGCCTGGTTACCATCGGAGATGGAAACTGCTCCCACCGCCACCCTGACCCCGGGGGTCACTGAGGGACAGGCCCAGGTTACCATCAGAGATGGAAATCCCTGCCAGGCCCACTGACCCCGGGGGTCACTGAGGGACACGGAAACTGCTCCCACTGCCCCCCTGACCCCGGGGTCACTGAGGGACACAGCCACAGGCCCAGGTTACCATCAGAGATGGAAACTGCTCCTGCTGACCCCCTGACCCCGGGGGTCACTGAGGGACAGGCCTGGTTACCATCGGAGATGGAAACTGCTCCCACCGCCACCCTGACCCCGGGGGTCACTGAGGGATGGAGGGACAGGCCCAGGTTACCATCAGAGATGGAAATCCCTGCCAGGCCCCCTCCCCGGCTCAGGTTCAAAGGGAGAGGTGGAACAACACCCAGGGCTTGGAGATGTCCAGGATCAGGTTCTGCAGCAGCTCCAGGACTCAGAGCAACTCCCAAGGTGGGAAAATCACCTGGGAGTCCCCACCCACCCCTTTTCTCCCTGGGATCCCCTTGGTGCCAACTCTGGGAAGGAGGGACATTCCCAAATTATCCCCGGCACCCTCCGGGGCTGGGAAATATCTTGGGAGTCCCTTTCCAGGTGGTTCTCCCCTTTCCCAGCTCAGGATTGGAGGGAAAGGTGGGAATGCCCCTAAATACTGGGAATGGGGAAGAGCATCTGGAGATGTTTGGGATGAGGAGCTCCAGGACTTGGGAGTGTTTTCCCAAGGTGGGAAAACAGGATCCATGGAATTCCCCTTCTTCCCACCCCCTCTGGGATCCCCGGCTGTGATTCCTCCATCCCATCCCAGCAGCCATTCCCGAATTTCCTCACTCCCAGCGGGGCTTTGATCCCTGGATTTGGACAAGGAGGACTCAGGGATTTGTGGGATCATTGGGGGGGATCCCTTGGATTCTGGGATTTAACGGATGGCACCTGTTTCCTGGGAATTCCCTGCCTTAAAGGAGCGAGCCAGGCTGGGAATAACAGGCTCTAATCCCGAGTTTTTCCCACTGGGAATGCCATCCCACATTCCCTGGGGAAGGATTTCCACCTTAAGCACCTGCAGGAGCTGGAAAAAGGATGAAGGAAAAAAACACCTCAAAAAACCAGGGAATTCCCTGCCTTAAAGGACTGAGCCAGGACAAAATAACGGGATTATTCCCTGCTTTTTCCCACTGGGAATCCCATCCCACATTCCCTGTGGAAGGATTTCCACCTTAAGCACCTGCAGGAGCTGGAAAAAGGATGAAGGAAAAAACCATCTCCCGGGAATTCCCTGCCTTAAAGGAGCTGAGCCAGGACAGAATAACAGGATTATTCCCTGGTTTTTCCCACTGGGAATCGCATCCCACATTCCCTGGGGAAGGATTTCCACCTTAAGCACCTGCAGGAGCTGGAAAAAGGATGAAGGAAAAAAACACCTCAAAAACCCTGGGAATTCCCTGCCTTAAAGGAACGAGCCAGGATGGAATAACAGGATTATTCCCTCCTTTTTCCCCTCGGGAATCCCGTCCCACATTCCCTGTGGAAGGATTCCCACCTTAAGCACCTGCAGGAGCTGGAAAAAGGATGAAGGAAAAAACCATCTCCCAGGAATTCCCTGGCATTAAGGAGCGAGCCAGGATGGAATAACAGGATTATTCCCTGGTTTTTCCCACTGGGAATCTCATCCCACATTCCCTGTGGAAGGACTTCCACTTTAAGCTCCTGGAAGAACTGGAATAACGATGAAGGAAAAAAACACCTCCTGGGAATTCCCTGCCTTAAAGGAGCGAGCCAGGACAAAATACCAGGATTATTCCCTCCTTTTTCCCCTCGGGAATCCCGTCCCACATTCCCTGTGGAAGGATTTCCACTTTAAGCACCTGCAGGAGCTGGAAAAAGGACGAAGGAAAAACCATCTCCCAGGAATTCCCTGGCATTAAGGAGCAAGCCAGGACAAAATAACAGGATTATTCCCTGCTTTTTCCCACTGGGAATCTCGTCCCACATTCCCTGTGGAAGGATTCCCACCTTAAGCACCCGGAGGAGCTGGAAAAAGGATGAAGGAAAAAAACACCTCTGAACATCCCAGGAATTCCCTGCCTTAAAGGAGCGAGCCAGGATGGAATAATGGGATCATTCCCTGTTTTTTCCCACTGGGAATCCCATCCCACATTCCCTGGGGAAGGATTTCCACTTTAAGCTCCTGGAAGAACTGGAAAAAGGACGAAGGAAAAAACCACATGCAGGAGAATAACCAGGGAATTCCGTGCCTTAAAGGAGTGAGCCAGGCTGGGATAACGGGATCATTCCCTCCTTTTTCCCACTCGGGAATGCCATCCCGCATTCCCGCTCACCTGTGGCGCCATCTGCTGCTGCATCCCGGCCCGCAGGTTGATCCCGACGGGAGCGGAGCCGGCGGCGTTGGCAGCAGCGGCTGCGAACTGGTTGAGCAGGGCCTGGCGGTTCTGGTGGAGCAGCTGCAGGGAAACACCAAAACCCTTGGGAATTCCCCCGGACGAGCTTCCCGACGGGAATTCGGGGTGTGGGGGTGCTGGAATTACCTGCTGCTGGCCCTGGAGCCGCTGCTGGAGCTGCAGGCGGAGCTGGTTGGGAGCCGGGGGGGGCCGGCTGAGGCCCTGCCGGGGAGGAGCCCCCCCGGGATTCGGGAACGCCGCGCGCGGGGCCGGGGCGGGAGCGGCGGGAGCGGCTCCTCCGAAGGGCGGTTTGGGCCGCGCCATCCCGGGGAAGGCGGCGGGGACGCCGGAGGAAGGGGGTGCCGAGGGGAAGGGCTGCGGGTACAGCCCCGCTTTCGGCTCCAGCAGCAGCGCCGGCGGGGCCGGCTGCGCCGGGAAGCGCTCGGAAAGAGCCTCCAGCCCCCCGCCCTGCGGGAAACACCGACACGCAGCGTTGGGGTGAGGAGGGAATGCAGGAGGGGGGGCTACAGTCCCACTCCCAAATGGATTCCCAATGCCAGGCGCTGGAATCCTCCTCCTCCAGCAATCCCAGGAGTGTCTCTTGTATTCCCATGCCCATCCCCACCCGGCTTCCCATTCCCCTCCACTGGGACTCCTCCTCCTCCAGGAATCCCAGGAGTGCCTCCCTCATTCCCATTCCCATCCACTGGGACTCCTCCTCCTCCTCCAGGAATCCCAAGAGTGCCTCCCTCATTCCCATTCCCACCCAGCTTCCCATTCCCATCCACTGGGACTCTTCTTCCTCCTCCAGCAATCCCAGGAGTGTCTCCTCATTCCCATTCCTCTCCCAGTCTCTCCACCCCGGGCTCCCATCCCATTCCCATCCACTGGGACTCCTCCTCCTCCTCCTCCAGCAATCCCAGGAGTGCCTCCCTCATTCCCATTCCCATCCACTGGGACTCCTCCTCCTCCAGGAATCCAGCAATCCCAGGGGTAGCTCCCCCATTCCCACTCCCCCCCAGCTTCCCATTCCCAGACATTGGAATCCTTCTCTTCCATGAATCCAGGAGTGTCTCCCTCATTCCCACTCCCACCTGCTTTCCCATTCCCAAACACTGGGACTCATCCTCCTCCAGCAATCCCAGGAGTGTCTCCCACATTCCCTCTCCCCCTTCCAGCTCCCCATTCCCATCCCCTTCTCCTCCTCCTCCAGCAATCCCAGGAGTGCTTCCCTCATTCCCACTCCCATCTGGCTTCCCATTCCCAGGCATTGGGAACCCTCCTCTAGGAATCCTCTTCCAGGAATCCAGGAGTGTCTCCCTCATTCCCACTCCCACCCAGCTTCCCATTTCCATCCTCTCCTCCTCCTCCAGCAATCCCAGGAGTGCCTCCCTCATTCCCATTCCCATCCACTGGGACTCCTCCTCCTCCTCCAGCAATCCCAGGGGTAGCTCCCCCATTCCCACTCCCCCCCGGCTTCCCATTCCCAGACACTGGAATCCTTCTCTTCCATGAATCCAGGAGTGTCTCCCTCATTCCCACTCCCACCTGCCTTCCCATTCCCAAACATTGGGAATCCTCCTCCTCCAGGAATCCCAAGAGTGGTTCCTGCATTCCCATTCCCACCCAGCTTCCCATTCCCATCCACTGGGATTCCTTTTCCTCCTCCAGCAATCCCAGGTGCATCTCCCACATTCCCTCTCCCCCTTCCAGCTCCCCATTCCCATCCCCTTCTCCTCCTCGTCCAGCAATCCCAGGAGTGCTTCCCTCATTCCCACTCCCACCTGGCTTCCCATTCCCAGGCATTGGGAATCCTCCTCTAGGAATCCTCTTCCATGAATCCAGGAGCGGTTCCCTCATTCCCATTCCCACCTGGCTTCCCATTCCCAGGCATTGGGAATCCTCCTCTAGGAGTCGTCTTCCAGCAATCCCAGGTGCATCTCCCTCATTCCCACTCCCCTCTCAACTCCCCATTCCCATCCCCTTCTCCTCCTCCTCCAGCAATCCCAGGAGTGCCTCCCTCATTCCCATTCCCATCCACTGGGACTTCTCCTCCTCCAGGAATCCTCCAGCAATCCCAGGAGTGTCTCCTACATTCCCACCCCCCTTCCATCTCCCCATTCCCATCTTTCCCATCTCCCCATTCCCATTCCATACCTGTACGAGTTTGTCGATGCCGAGTGCCCTGTCAGATCTCAGCCAGCTCTGTCTCGTCCCTCCCACATTCCCATCTCCCCATTCCCATCTCCCCATTCCCATGTTTCCCATTCCATACCTGTACGAGTTTGTTGATGCCGAGTGCCCTGTGTCTCATCCCTCCCACATTCCCATCTTTCCCATCCCCATTCCTCCCGGATCTCTATTTACCTGTACGAGTTTGTCGATGCCGAGTGCCCTGTCGATCTCGGCCAGCTCTGGTCTCATCCCTCCCACATTCCCATCTTTCCCATTCCCACGTTTCCCATCCCATCCCTGTACCTGTACGAGTTTGTCGATGCCGAGTGCCCTGTCGATCTCGGCCAGCTCTGTCTCGTCCCTCCCACATTCCCATCTCCATTCCCATTCCCCTGTACCTGTACGAGTTTGTCGATGCTGAGTGCCCTGTCGATCTCAGCCAGCTCTGTCTCGTCCCTCCCTCATTCCCATCTCCCCATTCCCATGTTTCCCATTCCCATGTTTCCCATTCCATACCTGTATGAGTTTGTCGATGCCGAGTGCCCTGTCGATCTCGGCCAGCTCAGTCTCATCCCTCCCACATTCCCATCTTTCCCATTCCCATCCCTCCCGGATCTCTATTTACCTGTACGAGTTTGTCGATGCCGAGTGCCCTGTCTATCTCAGCCAGCTCAGTCTCATCCTTCCCGCTGAGGAAGCTGACGAGCTGCTCCAGCAGCGCCTTCTCATCGTTCCGGCCCTCGGGAGTGCTGGGCGGGCACAGCAGCTCGTCCAGCTGGGAGCCCAGGCACGGCCTGCCCGGGGAAAACACACATTCCAACCTTAAAACCTTGGGAATTCAGCTCAAAAACAGGGAAAAGGGACACTCCCAATCCAGCTGGGAGCCCAGGCACGGCCTGCCCGGGGAAAACAAACATTCCCAGCTCAAAAATCCAGGGAAAAGGGACACTCCCAATCCAGCTGGGAGCCCAGGCACGGCCTGCCCCGGGAAAACACACATTCCAACCTTAAAAATCCAGGGAAAAGGGACACTCCCAATCCAGCTGGGAGCCCAGGCACGGCCTGCCCGGGGAAAACAAACATTCCAACCTTAAAAATCCAGGGAAAAGGGACACTCCAAATCCAGGGAAAAGGAACACTCCCAATCCAGGGAAAAGGAACCAAATACAGGGAAAAGGAACCAAATACAGGGAAAAGGAGGTAAATACAGGGAAAAGGAACACTCTGGAATCTGGGAGCCAAATCCAGGGAAAAGGGACACTCCCAATCCAGCTGGGAGCCCAGGCACGGCCTGCTCAGGGAAAACACAAACATTCCCACCTTAAAACCTTGGGAATTCAGCCCAAAAACAGGGAAAAGGTTCGCCTTCCACGTCCCAGGATGAGGACTCGGCCGGGAAGGAATCCCGGCCATGAATCCCACAAAACAAGGGGTTTTTTGGGATGGATGGGAATTCCTGCCATGCTTCCCAGGCTCTGCTCCCGCTGGGAATGAATCCCAGCCATGAATCCCACCCAAATCCCGGCCACGAATCCTACAGAAGAAGGGATTTTTGGGATGGATGGGAATTCCTGCCGTGCTTCCCAGGCTCTGCTCCCACTGGGAATGAATCCAGGGAAAAGGGACACTCCCAACCTGGGAGCCAAATCCAGGGAAAAGGGACACCCAAATCCAGGGAAAAGGAGCCAAATCCAGGGAAAAGGGACACTCCAAACTGGGAGCCAAATCCAGGGAAAAGGACACGCCAAATCCAGGGAAAAGGGGCCAAACCCAGGGAAAAGGAACACTCCAAATCCAGGGAAAAGGGGCGAAATCCAGGGAAAAGGGACACTCCAAATCCAGGGAAAAGGAGGCAAATTCAGGGAAAAGGGACACCTGGAATCTGGGAGCCAAACCCAGGGAAAAGGGACACTCCAAAAGGAGGGAAATCCAGGGAAAAGGGAGCAGGGGAGGGAAAAATGAGCTTGGAAAACTGGATCCCAAAGGAAAAGAACTTTGGCCACTTCCCTGCTCTGGGAAAAAAACCCTCTGGAATTCCGAGGTCGGGATCAACTCCTCAGGGGGAGGAAAATTTGGGAGCTTGGGTTTTTTGGGATCTGTAATTTTAGCAGGAGGAGGCTGGGAAAGAGCTGGGAAATCCCATGGAAAGCCTGGAATCCCACGGAAAGTTTGGAATTCCATGGAAATCCTGGCGAGGGGGAATGAGGGAGTGCCGTGGGAACAGCGGGAGGAACTGGGGAGAATCCCTGGGGAATATCCATGGGAATATTCCTGGCTGGGTTTGTGGGAATTCCAGGGAAAGGAAGGCCTTGGGTTATCCCAGTTTTTTCCCGGGAAAAGGTCGGGAATTGGGACTCACTCGTCGGGTTTTCCGAGTGCTCCGCGGGGCCCGGGGTCGTTCCAGGGAATTTGCTCCGGCATTCCCGGCGGGACAAACTCTGGCACTCCCAGATCCAGCTCCGGAATTCCTGAGGGTGGGAAAGAGAAAAAAAATGGGATGGAGAGAAGGAGAATTCCAAGGAATTCCTAAAAAGTCACGTGGAGTTTTCCGGGTGAATTTAGGGATTCCCGATCCCAAGGTGGGGGAAAATGGGATATTCCATAAGAATTCCAAGGGAAATTGTTGCTATCCAAGGGGTCTGGATCAAAGAGAATCCCAAATCCAGGAGTGTCTCCTGGTCCTTTTCCTATCCAGAAGCCTCTGGAAATCCTGGAATGCTGAGGTCCATCCAGAACCCACTGGAAATCTTGGAATGCCAAAGTTTATCCATAACCTTCTGGAAATCTTGGAATGCCAAAGTCTCTCCATAACCCTCTGGAAATCCTGGAATGCCGAGGTTTATCCATAACCCTCTGGAAATCTTGGAATGCCAAGGTCTCTCCATAACCCCCTGGAAATCCTGGAAATCCTGGAATGCTGAGCTCAATCCAGAACCCTCTGGAAATCCTGGAATATTGAGGTCAATCCACAACCCTCTGGAAATCCTGGAATGCTGAGCTCTATCCTCTACCCTCTGGAAATCCTGGAATATTGAGGTCTATCCAGAACCTTCTGGGAATCCTGGAATGCCGAGGTTTATCCACAACCCTCTGGAAATCCAGGAATATTGAGGTCTATCCAGAACCCCCTGGAAATGTGGGAATGCTGAGGTCTCTCCATAACCCTCTGGAAATCCTGGAATATTGAGGTCAATCCACAACCCACTGGAAATAATGGAATGCTGAGGTCCATCCATAACCCTCTGGAAATTCTGGAATATTTAGGTCTATCCATGACCCTCTGGAAATCCTGGAATACTGAGGTCTATCCATGACCCTCTGGAAATCCTGGAATATTGAGGTTTATTCATAACCCTCTGGAAATCCTGGAATGCTGAGGTCTCTCCATAATCCCCTGGAAATCCCGGAATGCGGAGGTTTATCCAGAACCCCCTGGAAATCCTGGAATGCTGAGGTCAATCCACAACCCACTGGAAATCCTGGAATATTGAGGTCAATCCACAACCCACTGGAAATCCTGGAATGCTGAGCTCAATTCAGAACCCTCTGGAAATCCTGGAATATTTAGGTCTATCCATGACCCTCTGGAAATCCTGGAATTCCGAGGTCTATCCACAACCCTCTGGAAATCCTGGAATGCCGAGGTCTCCTGACCTGACACCTCCTGGACAACAAACCCTTGGGAATCCCCTGGGATGAGGGGCTGGGACCGTTTCCCTTGGAATTGCCCGGGAATTCCCGGAGCGGGATCCGCACCTGAGTCCGTTGGGAAGGGATTGGGAGCATTCCCAGGGCCCCTTCCCGGCTGGGCCGGCCCTCGGCCCGGGGGGCTCCCGGCGGGACACGGAGCCGCACGGAGAGAGGAGGAGGGATCCAGGGAATCACAGAATTCCAGAGGGGCCCGGCCCGAAGGAACACCCAGAGCTGGAAAAACGGGAAAAACACGGACAGGGAGAGTCAATCCCACGGGAAAGGGAAGGGAAGGTTTGGGAAGGTTTGGGAAGGGGAAGGTTTGGGAAGGGAAGGTTTGGGAAGGTTTGGGAAGGGAAGGTTTGGGAAGGGAAGGGAAGGTTTGGGAAGGTTTGGGAAGGTTTGGAAGGGAAGGGAAGGGAAGGGAAGGTTTGGGAAGGGAAGGTTTGGGAAGGTTTGGGAAGGTTTGGGAAGGGAAGGGAAGGGAAGGGAAGGTTTGGGAAGGGAAGGTTTGGGAAGGTTTGGGAAGGTTTGGGAAGGGAAGGTTTGGGAAGGTTTGGGAAGGGAAGGTTTGGGAAGGGAAGATTTGGGAAGGGAAGGTTTGGGAAGGGAAGGTTTGGGAAGGTTTGGGAAGGGAAGGTTTGGGAAGGTTAGGGAAGGTTTGGGAAGGGGTTTGGGAAGGGGTTTGGGATCCCAAATGCAGCCCCACGTACGGGGCATTCCCGAGGGAGCTCTGGCAGCCGTGCTGGGCTGGAGGGGAGGTGCCAACAGCTCCGGCTTCACCGGCACTCCGGACACTCCTCCGGATATTCCGGATATTCCGGACATTCCGCCGTCGCTCCGCTCGCACATTCCCGGCAGCTGCGGCGCCTTCTCCAGGGAGGGCAGGAGCTGATCCAGCTGCTCCAGCTCGGCAGAGAACTGCGGGATGGAGGGAAGAAAGGGAAGGGTGAGGGATGGAGCCACCACGGAGCGGGAATGTGAATGTGCGTCCGGCTCGCTGGAGAATCCCGGGAATGGCTCCGGGAAGCAGCAGCTCCCCAGAGGGAATAAAGCTCTTCATTGGATCAGAGCACGGGAGATTGGGAAGGGATTCCCGGCTGGGCTGGAATTCCCAGGGAAGCTGTGGCTGCCCCTGGATCCCGGGAGTGTCCCAGGCCGGGTTGGATCCCCTGGGATAGCGGGAGGTGTCCCTGAACATGGAGTGGGATGATCCTGAAAATCCCTTCCCACACAAATCACTCCAGGATAAAGGACACTCTGGATCCGCTCAGAGGGGTTTTTACGGAATGTGGGGATGGCAAAGGCAGGAAAGGGGAAGGGAGACCCTTCCCTGAGTGCCGAGATTCCCAGGGAACCCCTCCTTGTTCCCGGAACTCCTTCCCAGAGAGGAGTTGGGCTGGGGATGGATCCAATGTCAGGCTCTGGATCCAGGCTGGGAGAGCTGGGAATGGCCAGGCTGGATCCGCTCCTCGCTGCCTTCCCGGTTTTCTTGCACCTCGGGAAGGCTTTTCCAGCCCCTTCCCAGAGATTCCTTGAAGGGCTGAGCTGTGGGAATGGGAAGGGGCGGGGCAGGAGGGGCAGGACTGGGGCTGGGAAAGGCGGGATCACTGCTGGGAAAGGTGGGATCAGATCTGGAGGAGGTGGAATCAGCACTGGAAGAGTTGGAATCAGCGCTGGAGGAGATGGAACCAGCACTAGAGAAGGCGGAATCAGCACTGGAGAAGATGGTATCCAAACTGGAAAAGGTGGAATCACCACTGGAAAAGATGGAACCACCACTGGAGAAGATGGAATCAGCACTGGAGGAGGTGGAACCAGTGCTGGAGGAGGTGGAATCCCCACTGGAGGAGCTGGAATCCCCACTGGAGGAGGTGGAAGCAGTGCTGGAAAAGATAGAACCAGTGCTGGAGAAGATGGAACAGGCACTGGAGGAGGTGGAATCAGCACCAGACGAGTTGGATTCCCCACTGGAGGAGGTGCAATCAGCACTGGAGGAGGTGGAATCAGCACTGGAGGGGTTGGAATCCCCACTGGAGAAGATGGAACCAGTGGTGGAAATGGTGGAATCACCACTGGAGGAGGCAGAATCAGCACTGAAAGAGTTGGAATCAGCACTGGAAAAGATGGAACCAGTGCTGGAAAAGATGGAACCAGCACTGGAGGAGATGGAATCAGCACTGGAGGAGATGGAATCAGCACTGGAGGAGATGGAATCAGCACGGGGGGAGGTGGAATCAGCGCTGCAAGAGGTGGAAGCAGTGCTGGAAAAGATGGAACCAGTGCTGGAAAAGATGGAATCAGCACTAGAGAAGATGGAACCAGTGCTGGAGAAGGTGGAACAGGCACTGGAGGGGTTGGAATCCCCACTGGAGAAGGTGGAATCCCCACTGGAAGAGGTGGAATCCCCACTGGAGAAGGTGGAATCAGGCACTGGAGGAGGTGGAATCCCCACTGGAGGGCTTGGAATCCCCACTGGAGGGGTTGGAATTCCCACTGGAGGGGTTGGAATCAGCACTGGAGGAGGTGGAAGCAGTGCTGGAAAAGATGGAACCAGTGCTGGAAAAGATGGAACAGGCACTGGAGAAGATGGAATCCAGTACTGGAAAAGCTGGAATCCCCCCCTGGAGAAGGTGGAATCCCCACTGGAAGAGTTGGAATCCCCACTGGAGAGGTTGGAATCCGCACTGGAGAAGGCAGAATCCCCCCTGGAGAAGGTGGAATCAGCACTGGAAGAATTGGAATCCCCACTGGAGAAGTTGGAACAGGCACTGGAAGAGGTGGAATCCCCACTGGAGAGGGTGGAATCAGCACTAGAGGGGTTGGAATCCCCACTGGAGGGGTTGGAATTCCCACCGGAGGAGATGGAATCCCCACTGGAGGAGATGGAATCCCGCCTGGACACGGTGGGATCCCCACTGGAAGAACTGGAATCCCCACTTGAGAAGGTGGAATCCCCACTGGAGGAGGTGGAATCAGCGCTGCAAGAGGTGGAAGCAGTGCTGGAAAAGATGGAAGCAGTGCTGGAGAAGGTGGAACAGGCACTGGAGGGGTTGGAATCCCCACTGGAGGAGGTGGAATCCCCACTGGAAGAGTTGGAATCCCCACTGGAGAAGATGGAACAGGCACTGGAGGAGGTGGAATCCCCACTTGAGAAGGTGGAATCCCCACTGGAGGAGGTGGAAGCAGTGCTGGAAAAGATAGAACCAGTGCTGGAGAAGATGGAACAGGCACTGGAGGAAGTGGAATCCACACTGGAGGAGATGGAATCAGCACCAGAGGGGTTGGATTCCCCACTGGAGGAGGTGCAATCAGCACTGGAGGAGGTGGAATCAGCACTGGAGGGGTTGGAATCCCAACTGGAGAAGATGGAACCAGTGCTGGAAATGGTGGAACCACCACTGGAGGAGGAGGAATCAGCACTGGAGAAGGTAAAACCAGCACTGGAAAAGATGGAACCACTGGAGGATGTGGAACAGGCACTGGAGGAGATGGAATCAGCGCTGGAGGGGGTGGAATCAGCACTGGAGGAGATGGAATCAGCACTGGAGGAGATGGAATCAGCACGGGGGGAGGTGGAATCAGAGCTGCAAGAGGTGGAACCAGTGCTGGAAAAGATGGAACCAGTGCTGGAAAAGATGGAATCAGCACTAGAGAAGATGGAACCAGTGCTGGAGAAGGTGGAACAGGCACTGGAGGGGTTGGAATCCCCACTGGAGAAGGTGGAATCCCCACTGGAGAAGGTGGAATCCCCACTGGAAAAGGTGGAACAGGCACTGGAGGAGGTGGAATCCCCACTGGATAGGGTGGAATCAGCACTAGAGGGGTTGGAATCCCCACTGGAAGAGGTGGAATCCCTACTGGAGGAGGTGGAATCAGCGCTGCAAGAGGTGGAACCAGTGCTGGAAAAGATGGAACAGGCACTGGAGAAGATGGAATCCGTACTGGAAAAGCTGGAATCCCCCCCTGGAGAAGGTGGAATCCCCACTGGAAGAGTTGGAATCCCCACTGGAGAGGTTGGAATCCGCACTGGAGAAGGCAGAATCCCCCCTGGAGAAGGTGGAATCAGCACTGGAAGAATTGGAATCCCCACTGGAGAAGTTGGAACAGGCACTGGAAGAGGTGGAATCCCCACTGGAGAGGGTGGAATCAGCACTAGAGGGGTTGGAATCCCCACTGG